CCATCCTCAATGAGTTCATCCCTGTTTGCCAGCACGCTGATGGATTTGTCACCCCCTCGTCTGGTGGAGTCCTCACCGCAGACGCTAGAGTTTGGTATTGTGAGACTGCGATTGCCCTGGACGATGGTGACGCTGCGATTTAGTGGGTGGATCCAAATCTCAACACGCTTCGGCCGGCTGTGTGAGAACATGCTGGAGATCTGGGAGGCCGCCGAGGCGTGGGTCTGCTGTTTCTGGCCCCCAAAACCTGGCCACTTTGAAGTATTGCTGTGCTGTAAAGGAATGGGGGCGGGGGAACAGGTGTTTAGGGTGACAAATTGGTAGACTAGAGGGCAGGAATGGGAAGTTGCTGACAACGAACGTACCTCACGCATCAGATCAACAGCGCGGACGTGGATCTCATTAAATAGAGCGGAAAGGCTCTGGCTGGCTGTCGGAAATGGATTGCTAGCCGCCAGGGTTCGCATGTAGTAACACATTGCATCAAAATGACGTGCCTGTGTGAAGAATATGCGATGAAAATACAAATACGTTAATTGAAAGGTTATGAGTTGGAAGAAAAAGCGGGGTAAGTATGTGCAAATTAAAGAAAAGGCAAGATTAGGAGAAGAATTTACGTTTGATTGGGAGAATGGGGCAATAACAAGGTTAGTTTGGCTAATTATAGGACTGATTTCCGTAACATACACCTGGCCGCAGCTAAGGTTGATATGGATAGAAGAGGTTAGGAGAAGAGCCTAATCACCAAAAATCCAGTTTAGGCAAAAGAGCTAATTTATGCGTTAGACATTCAGTGAAGAATACACGCTAATTCCTCGCTGTATCGCGCTCGGCCTTTTGCGGTCTCAATCCACCGCGGATTTCATATGCAAACATATTTAAATATGCATCGCGAATATTTTATAGGTTCGCGGGATTCTATAGACAATGGGCATTTTTTAATTTCTGGTACCTCCTTTCTCAGTTGCTTAGCCCAGTTGATTTCATTCATGAGACTCTATTGGCGGACGACTGTAATGCGTAGTAAATAAAACTGCTCGATGATGTACGATGCGTATAGTTGTGCATAGTATGTGAACAGTGCCTATACACAAGTTCAATGAATCTGACCTAATATCGAAGAGAAGGTAAAGGGTTTATACTGCATAACTGTCTGGGAAATGCTTGTAAGAGTTTAAATATAGGGTCTTCAAAGGTATTGCCTACTACCCTAAATATACTGAACTATATAAAATTATCATATATAGTTTCTACTTCGTGAATTTTCACTTTTTACGGAGTCCTGGAACGCAACCTCTACAAAGGAGGAGGGATAGCTGTACACGGTACACATCCCGAGCAACTTTGAACCCAAGTACTTGTTCCGCTTGCAGTCAGGATTTCAGAAATACAAAGTATTTATTTTCGGTGTAACGAAATCCTGAATTTGTACAGACTATTGAGAAGACGTCATAGAAGGGTTATAAGATTTTGACGTTGATGTGGACCATTTTGTGCACTTTACAAAAAGCATTAATAAATGAACAAACAAGATGGACATTTAACGGTCTTAAGCGGCTCATAATTTGAAACTTATTAAAAATCTTAGTATATCCCTTCGGCGAGTACAAACCATAATTTGCTGCCGAATGAGTACAAGAGATAACATTTTGAGGTGGCTTCCCATGAAATATATTTTAGTTTATGCGGGCGTTGAAAATCAACGAGACAAATGTATACTACTTAAGAGGAAATGTTTACGG